GGAAATATTGAATAAGCAGCATCCATAAGTCGCATTCTCAACCGGCTCAAAACCCACATGACCTTAAGCCAGCGTTAAGGCCGTACTAGTTAATTTGATCGTTAAGAATTAAGAAGAAAGGGTACTTTTTACCCTTATTTATAAATTACTAGGTTTGTAATATATTACGTAACTATTAAGACCTGATCTATTGGCCGATCTTGATAGGAATTTAGTTTTTTTTGTGAAGGAAGGATTATTGATGGCCCGGAGGCCTTTTCATTTCCACTAGGACAGGTGGGCGAGCACGGACTCAGCCAGGAGGGGTGGGATTTGCTAACACCTCAAGGGTAGTTGTTTCGCAAATCTACTAAGACTATAGTCCGATCGCTACCAAACTTCACGGGAGCACTAACCGACTTTTATAAATACTAGATGATGACCGAGCTTAGCTCGTTTTTTTTTGATAACGCCATCTTGTTGTGTCTTTAAAGCGGTTAGTTGCCCTCAATTAAGAAAAATAGTATTATTATTCGCCAATAGATGTCGGGAAGAGTTGATTATTGAAAACACGAATAAAACAACATTTTCTGAAAATAAATCGTAGCTAGATCGATTTATCGCCCCCGAAATCCCCTGTATACTAAATTTTATNTTATTTTTATTTTGTCATGAATTAAAATAAAAAATCTGATGTTACTCTCAATTTTTCATCCCTCTATGATCAACCCCTTTTTTTATTTGTTAATTATAAACTTTAATTTTTTTGTCAAGTTTTTTATTTTGTTTTGTCATTACTTAAAATAAAAAAAAATCATATTACTGTCAATTTTCACTCTTATACGATCAACCCCTATTTTTCCATCCTGATTAATATTTTTTTTATTCTATGCACAAATCCGCAATAAGGTTGCAAGATGGCAATCAAATATTATAATTGTAGTACGATAAATTCTTATTCAGAGTTTATAATTTCAAGTTCCTTTAATAATGATTTTTTTTAAATTGAATTTGATCTCCCCCCCCCCCCCCCGGTCGACTACTGATCAACTATCAATCGATCAGCTATCCCCGCCAGGAGTCACCACTCATCCAGCAAACATCATGTAGTAGGGATGAGGACGAAGCCGGTCTCCTGGCTTACTTTTTCTTTTTAAGAGATTTTACCTTACCTGATAACTGAGACCTTTAAATCATGTCTTATTTTAATTTATATATTATTCATATTTTTATGAAAAATGATATTATGGAGTGAAATGAAATGAAGATGATTAATTTGAGACACTAATCAACTGGGTTGAAATTAAATAAAATGAATTGAGATGATATGGGATGAAATATAATCTTAGTAAAATGGTGGTCATTTACTAAGACTTTTTCAGTGGACTTTTTGGAAGATCCCGAAAAGTTACGTCCAGCGGCTTTGTTTCATTTTCCCACATTTGTGCACTTTCACAGATAATAGACAGTTAATAAACCACCATTATTACACATTTAACCCCGAAGAAACACTAAATAGACAAAATAAAACAAATCACACAACTTCACTCCTCGCGTTCCCGCCTAAAAGTCTCCTGTCTTACTCACTATACATCATAGATTATACACTTAATATATTTGAGAGCTATACAATACTATACATTTTTCAGCCATGTTTTTTTGGTTTTATTTGTGTATCAATAGTATGTTCAGTAGGTCTGAGAATCAGCTACTATCTATTTTTCATACCCCTAAGTGAAAAGGGTTGTCCACCCCAAACATTTATTTTTTATTTTAATTTTTTGGATATATATTTTTTTGTTTATAATGAGGTATTATGTGGTTAAATGAGGTTTTTTTTCTACAGTAGAATTTTCTTAGAAATCTTATTTAAGGCAACACAACGTTTGCCGGGACAGCTAGTATACATATATATATAAATATACAAGAATTGCTCGTTTAAAGGCATAAGATACGCATGACGTGACATAAATGATGCTTATCTCATTATTGTAGCCTTTTAAAAATACGATAAGGGCAACCAAAATAAAATTAGGTGTCACTTAATCAGTTTTAAGTTACCATTAAATAGAATTTCATTGTATTACATACATAATAATACATTATCTTTCACACATCTTCTTCTCGCATTAAAACTGTATAATCTCAAAACTTACTAATTTTACAGGAGAGTAGGTTTAACATGTGATATTTTTAATATTAATTATCTTTGCAATAATTATTTTTTATTTTTTACCAGTTATGTTATTTACCATCTGTCCTTTAAAGTAAGATAAAATTATGTATTAATTTAGTTAATAGTAGTCAAAACATAGGTGAACTAAAAAAAAAAAAAACTAAACTACACCCTTTTGACAGTATTTATGAGAATAATACTGATGATACCAAATCATTCCGCATATTAACTCAATTTCGAATATTTTTTGGAAATTGTACACTTTTAATGCGAAAAGATGACATTTGTAATGGGCAGGCGGTGAGTCGCTCGCCTATCCTACTCTAGGTTGTAACTGGATTACAAACCGGGGGGTAAAGTTATGCTGATTGGAAAGAGCATGTAAATTGTCCCACTTAAATGAAAACACTTTGAGTTGATAGTTTAAGTAGGCTATAGTGACATTTATGTTTAAGTGTTTAGTTTAGTGAGAGTTTTTTTACGTTCTCGATAGCGTAAAAGTTAACACAATTTTGTATGCAACAGCACACCTAGCGGCAAACGTACGCAAACGAACCCATACAAATATGAGCTAACTTTTACGCTATCGAGTCAGTAAGTATCTGCAGTCGGCGTCGATGCGCCACTTCGATAAAGCGGCACGACACGAGAACCCTCTCATCGTGGCCGCCGGTAACTACATTCCCGATCCTGCGGACAGAATGGAAAGCAGTCGACGTCGCCCCAAGCACGCCATTTCGGATCCTCCCGATCCACTAACGGTGCTTTTAGGTACCTCAAGCACCGGTCATCGTTCTCGTCGAACCCGTCGCTCGCGACGATGGCCTCGACGAGTAAATTAACCCTCAGCACAGCCCACTGAGTTTCTCGCCGGATCTTCTCAGTGGGTCGCGTTTCCGATCCAGTGGTAGATTCTGCGAAGCACGGCTCTTGCTAGGGTTCGTGTTAGCATCGTCGTCAGGTTTGAGCCCCGTGAGCTCACCTACTAGTTAAGGTTCCGCTCACATAGCCTCTCAAGGCTATCAGCTTAGGTAGGAAAAAAAAACGCTATAGAGAACGTTAAAAAACTCGCAATAAGCACACGGATGTCACAATTGAGGATAGGAGAGTTACAAGAGAGGTCGCGGCTGGTGCGCAGTTCGCGGTGCCCCCGTGTGGGGATCGCGTCAATTTTACGGCGCATTTCTTTGACATCACACGCTCGACGGAGCACACTTATCGTTTGTCGGCCCCTTCGTCTGTATTGTGCGCGGAAAACGTCAGGTGTTCGTGAACCGTTCCGATGTTAAGTGCTTTTTTGATGTGAGATGTCTGATTTTGTTTTTTTGTTTTTCAATGCGCGATATAGTGTAGTATTTTCTTGCCTACCTATCTACCAGTAATCTTGGGATACTATTCTGACTTCACCGCGACTGATGAGCTTGCAAGGTTCAGCTTGAGAGAACTTACTAACGTCTACTATAGCAAGAGCAGTGGCCCCACTGAATCTACCAACAGTAGTTCATGTTCAAACATGAAATTTTTGTGAAAAAGGAAAATGCTTTCAAATTTCGTGATCCTTTTTACTAAACAACGATTACTAATGTTTTTTTATTTATTGCTTAGATGTGTGGACGAGTTCACAGCCCACCTGGTGTTAAGTGGTTACTGGAGCCCATAGACATCCACAACGTAAATGCGCCACCCACCTTGAGATATAAGTTCTAAGGTCTCAGTATAGTTACAACGGCTGCCCCACCCTTCTTCATGTATATTTGTGTTATCTCTATCCTGTTTTAGTCTCTTCTTAAGAGTTATTTTGTATATTTGAATTGAGTGTATGTACGGTAGGCAACGGTTCGGCTCTGCCCCTAGCACTGCTGTAGTATACCACTCACCATCAGGTGAGCTGTATGCTCGTCTGCCTAGAAAAGCAATAAAAAATTTAAGCTTTGCAAATCTAAAGATTGTTTGTCACACAAGTATAATATGATGTCTTAATATGCTCATTCCAGATTTGAATAGAACTTTTTTTGTCTAGTTTTTATTTTATTTTTATAAACGTTTTATTCTTGTGGATAGTGAAGTGTTTAAAAATAAAAAATCGCTGTCACTGATGCAGAATTCGAACCCTTATCCGTTAGTTTCCTGCCGGGGGTAAACACCGAACCAAACAATTCAATTATTCCATGTAATCGCGTGTAATGATTGCGAGATATTTACACTGGGCTGCATCAAATGATCTTTGTCTGTTGGACGCTTGGGGAAACGAGTTTACGGGCCGTTTGACTGTAAACGGTGACCGTGGACTGTAAAACTTAAGGTTCAATAATTTTTTTTGTATAATTTATTTCACTACTAGCTTTTGCCCGCGACTTTGTCCGCTTGGAATAATTAACAAATAATGCTTTATTTTAGAACAAATTTGGTTAGCATAAAAAACGTTACAGTGAGCCAACCTTAACATATAGACATATGATGTCCCGGACTTTTTTTTAGGTCTTTTAAAAGGGAACAATTCTGTCATACATTATTTTAGCGAAACTTTAACCGTTTCCGCAGCGCACGCAGCGGAAGCTCTCAGAGGGAAAAAAACCCGATTCTGAAACATTCTTTATTGATGCTCCGCTTGTATTGGTCTTAGCGTGATGTTATATAGCCTATAGCCTTCCTCGATAAATGGGCTATCTAACACTGAAATAATTTTTCAAATCGGACCAGTAGTTCTTGAGATTAGCGCGTTCAAACAAACAAACTCTTCAGCTTTATAATATTAGTATAAGATAGACACATAGTCTTCTTAAATGCGAGGCCGCGACCGCTTCTTATACCTTCATAGTTCAAGAACCTAATTTAGAGCACTTACCGGTTTTGACTTGGTACTTGAGCGTAGCCTTGCAGTCTTCGAGGAGCTGCTTCAGAGGGAGAGGCTCATCGTGCAGCTCTAAGTCTAGGAGCTTCTGCATCTCTTCGGGCATCTTGAACTCCAAGATCTGGTGAAAATGAGTCAATTTATACTGGTGGTAGGACCTCTTGTGAGTCCGCGCGGGTAGGTATCACCGCCCTGTCTATTTCTGCCGTGAAGTAGTAATACGTTTCGGTTTGAAGGGTGGGGCAGCTGTTGTAACTATACTGAGATTTTAGAACTTATATCTCAAGGTGGGTGGCCGCGTTTACGTTGTAGATGTCTATGGGCTCCAGTAACCACTTAACACCAGGTGGGCTGTGAGCTCGTCCACCCATCTAAGCAATAAAAAAAATCGGTTTACGGTTAATACGTCGCACAATTAACAGGACCAAAGAAACCAAACTCAACTGTACTAAATGTTAAAGAAATATCTCATACTAGCTTTTGCCCGCGACTTCGTCCGTGTGGAATAGTTACTTTGGCGTAACGCTAAATTTTACCCGCCTCTTCATTTACGTAGAAAGTGAAAATATTTTTGAATAATAGAACGTTAAGGAGCTCTTTAAGGTACCAAAATCACGCTTTTTAACCGACGTCAAAAGAGGAAGTTATCAAATCGACCATAAATTTTTATCTATGTATATTCACCGATTTCTTTGATGATGCTCCGCTTGCATTGGCCTTAGCGTGATGTTATATAGCCTATAGCCTTCCTCAATTAATGAGCTATCTGACAGTGATATCGGACCATAGTTCCTGATATTAGCGCGTTCAAACAAACAAACTCTTCATCTTTATAATATTAGTATAGGTTTGAATAGCCCGCAATGTGAGACTAAGTCCGAGTTAGGTCTCTCACCTTTCATGCCGGTCATCAGCCGATCTTTAATTGAATTACATTGCGCGTCAAACAAAAACCATTAGATTGTACCATGGCTTAAACCACACAGTATTTTTTTTATTTAGTTAAAACACATTTTTTGCCATTTTTAGTTGTGTAAAGTGTAGGACTCAGTAGAGGTCCTACCACCAATAGTGAAATTAGTATTATATTAACAATTGCATGTATACTGGTGGTCCAGAGGTCTTTCCAGTTTCACCAGGACAGGTGGGCGAGTAAAGGCTCAGCCAGGAGGGGTGGGATTTGCTATCAGCTGCCTCAGTGCCTCAAAAGGGACCTAACAGCTCAAGAGCAGCTGCTTCGCGAATGAATCTACCACCGGATCGGAAACGCGACCCACTGAGAAGATCCGGCGAGACACTCAGTGGGCTGTGTCTATGGGCTAACGCTTATTCTCTGGACTAGCCGGCACACCTGAAGTTCAGAGCAGAACCTGCATGACGTCACACCGTAAGAAACATAAAGTCGTAGTTTCAATGGCATTTCTTGTTCCACTTCACCCTTTTTTTTTAATTTATTGATGCACAAAACAAATTACAATCGTTACAGTATATATTAGCTAAATCGTACAAGTACTACCTAGATCTAATCTGGATTGCAATCTAAATAGTATGTGCACTCAGCAAAACCATATCTATATATTAATACGTGAAGCAAAAACTTTGTATCCCTTTTTACGAAAATTGCGCGGACGGAGGAGTATGAAATTTTCCACACTTATAGAGAATATAGAGAAGAAATGCACAAGGCGGAGGAGGAGTCAAATTGAGAATAGATTAAATATTGTTTGTCTTTGTTAATATTTTTTACAGTATAGTCTTGGCGAAATTTGTGATTATAGAAGTATAAAATACAATCATAATAGTGTACAAACTTACAATTCCAATTAATTATAGTCGAATTTCGACTACTGCGGGACCTCTAGTTATTATTAATGTGCATAGCTTTGGCTATTGGAAACACAATTGAAATTAGAAATATTGATAACTAACCGTTGTTCAATAGGATATCCTTCACACATTTGACAAATCCCCTGAGTCTAGGTTCAAATATATCAAGGTTACCGTGACATCTCTTACCTTTTCATTCCTGTCGTTGACCTTTTGCACGAAGTCGAGGAGCACGTCCACCACCCTGGCGAGGAACTCCCTGGTCTGCATATTGGCGTCCTCGCGGTACGGCAGAATGGCTGTGAGCATCGACAGTTATTTTAGTTCACTTCATAAAAGAATGGATTCTCGATTTGACTGTATTTTTGTCGTATGTTGTTTATACCTCAGTTTTTTTTTAATTATCCAATTTTGATGATTCAGTTATCTAATTAAAAGCTAGTTTTTAAATAACATTAAAAGAATCTGAGCTAGTATTCTTTGAGTTCCAATGCACACATTGAATTACACTTCACAACTTTTATTTTCTTAATTTCACACACATTTATGCAGTACGAATTACTTCGATTACGTTAATTCTAATTCAAATTCAAAATCATTTATTTCAACTTTGATGTCAGTATGACACACTTGTTGAATGTCAAAATATAAATAACAATGTTAACTCTACCACCGGTTCCAAAAAAGCCACAGTCCTGAGAAGAACCGGCGAAACAAACTCAGCGGGCTTTTTTTTTGTTTTTTCTCAAAAAAAAATATTTTTTTGTTTTTAATAAGTAAAAATATTTGCAATAAACGAAAAAACAAGTCAAAAAATACAATTTTTTTTTTTAAATTAATAATAATGAAAAATGAAAAGGCCAGGAGCGAACGTCTCATTCCCACGTAGTGCCATCTAGTAAATAATCCTTAACTCTATAATATGCCTTGTTGCACAAGCGTTCCTTGACAGTTTTCTTAAATCTATGAACAGGTAGTAATTGAGCGTTTAGTGGGATCTTGTTGAAAAGTTGTACACCCAGCCCCCTGAAAGAGTTGCTTATTCCCTTAATTCGAGCCGCCGCGCCGGCAACGCAAGCCTATGTTTGTTCCTAGTGTTCACATTGTGCAAATCGCAGACTCTGGGGAATTCTTTAATGTTTTTACGCACGTACAATAAATTTTCCAAAATGTATTGGGACGCTAAAGTTAGAATTTTGATTTCCTTAAGCTTGTCCCTCAAGGATTCCCTCGGGTGCATATTATAAATAGCACGAATAGCCCTCTTAATAAGTGTCATCTAGGGACGTACTAGCTAGAAAGTACATCCACCGCTAGATGGCCCTGATAGATATGTGGACGTTTCGATAATTCGATATTTTATTCTCATAGCAACGATGTGTCGATGTTATCGAAACCAAAATATCGATAGTAAAACATCAATGCTTATTCAACATCGATGAATATCGATCATCCCTACTTCGACATACATTGACGATTTTCTCATTTGATTTTGAATAAGTCGATTTCTTTGTTGTTAAATTATTTTGCTAAATCATGTTGTTTAGATTATTATTAAGTTTTCTTGAGCGACTACGCTACGGACACTTTGAGACAGCCGAAGATACATTCGAAAGACGAACTTTTGGATCCAGATACTCTAGAGAACTGCACACGACAGTGATATAAATGAACATTCAAATCGACAAACTTTTCCCTATATATGCAATTTAAGAAAATATAAATCTTATTAGACTGATAATCTGAAGGTAGCTTTTCAGAATTTATAATGGGACATTTTTCGTCTAATTCTTAAAATATTTAAGCATTTTTGAACCTTATTTCCAACGACCTAAAAACAAAATAGTGTTTTTTTTTTAAATAATAATTTTATACTCATATAGTGGTCTTATTTAAAAATATTCTTAAACAATCAAGCGATTTGGAGCTTTATTCATAGCACGATAAGAAAAAACAGTTCAGATTTAGAAGTTTATTTTTCTTTTATTTCAGAATGGAAGTTATCCACTTGCCGCTCCTTTAAAAAAATCAGTCGATTTTGAATCTAACTGCTATGTTCATAAGAACTACACCGGATTATCGTGAGTCTCTATATACGATTGTAGATTACTCTATTGTTATGAAAGAGGTATTCATCCATTGTTTGGTTCTCGTTTAGAAGATTGATTATTTGTCTTTGACTTTTGGCGCGAGAGGCATCAGTCATCTATCATTATTAAAAAGAAAATCTAAAAATGCCCGAAATGCCAGGATTTTTTTTCAAAATAATGTCAATGTCAGTAATGATGCTAGTAAATTGACACAGTGGCAATCAAGACATAAACGTACATAAATATAAATATATATATATATATGATTATATTTATTGGTGGTACTGGTGGTATATTTTTACTGGTGGTAGGTACCACCGCCCCGCCTATTTCTGCCGTGAAGCAGTAATGCGTTTCGGTTTGAAGGGTGGGGCGGCCGTTGTAAATATACTGAGACCTTAGAACTTATATCTCAAGGTGTGTGGCGCGTCTACGTTGTAGATGTCTATGGGCTCCAGTAACCACTTTAGACTAGGTGGGCTGTGAGCTCGTCCACACATCTAAGCAATAAAAAAAAATTAAAAAAAAATAGCTTTGTTACTCGATGCGTCGAACCTGCTATCTGATTGAATTTAAGACAGTTGTACCACTGAGCTTACTGTGGGAATTGCCTCATACAACGAAATGCTCTCTAGATGCCGACACTAGACTACACGACTCGGATAGGGGGGAAATGTAGAAGCAGGAGAAAGGTTATCACTAATCCTTTGATAATGGCAAAGTCATCGCCCACCGAGAGACCTGACACGTGGTCTAGAACTTCACTTATTGATCTCTTTACTGGTGGTAGGACCTCTTGTGAGTCCGCGCGGGTAGGTACCACCACCCTGCCTATTTCTGCCGTGAAGCAGTAATGCGTTTCGGTTTGAAAGGTGGGGCAGCCGTTGTAACTATATTGAGACCTTAGAACTTATATCTCCAGGTGGGTGGCGCATTTACGTTGTAGATCTTGTAGTCTACGGGCTCCAGTAACCACTTAACACCAGGTGGGCTGTAAGCTTGTCCGACCATCTAAGCAATAAAAAAAATTGTAAATAGACATGCTTTAACAAAAACCGACTTCAAATAAAAAAATAAAGAAATTCCAAAACAAATTAATATACACTAATAACAATAATCATCAAAATCGATTGACCCAGTCAAAAGTTAAGAGGTAACAAACAAAAAAAAAAACAGACAGTAGAATTGATAACCTCCTCCTTTTTTGAAGTCGGCTAAAAATAATCTTCCCGCATTATGCCACGGCAGTACGAGTAGCATCCGGCATTTACCGCTAGGCCTACTGGGTGAATCGCACGGGTAGGTACCGCTGTACAAGCGCAAAGAAGTCATGGGTTCCGGCTTTAAGAGCTCTTTCGTTACCCAATAGAATTGAGACTTTGACCTCAAGTCTCAAGGCGAGAGCGGCGTTCACGCTGTGATGTCTAAAGGCTCATATCGCTCAAAATCCAGTGGCCTGCTGGAACCGCAATAAAAAAATCTCTAACACTTCTTTTGGCATATCTATAGAACCTACGACCGCTGGAGCAGATGAAGTCTTGAGCGTAGGCCGCGCATTGGCCGCGCAAACATAATATGGGGCACCCCCTACCAAGGCGGGCGACGATTGTCAAGGGACCATCCGAAAACCCAGTGACAAACATTGCGAGAGACTTATCTCCAGCAGTGGACAACACTGTTATATTGTGCTTAACGCTAGCGTGGTATGGACATGTGATGCATAGAGAGAAGATGATAATGACTAGGAGATGTATGAAAATGTTAGTGTAAGATCTGTTGAATGTTAGAGGAAGTCTTTTTGTTTCTCGAGCGCTATGACATGTCCTTCTTTAAAAGAGGCTTGTGGAGAGTATTAAGCGGTAGGCAGCGGCTTGGCTCTGCCCCTGGCATTGCTGAAGTCCATGAGCGACGGTAACCACTCACCATCAGGTGGGCCGTATGCTCATCTGCCTACGAGGACAATAAAAATAAAAAAAGTCTGAAAGTGGCACCTGTGACAGAGAATCTGAGAAGTGCGCGTTTGGGATGGTATGGACATATGATGAGACGAAATGAAAATGAGGTTGGTAAGAGAATGTTAACTGTGAATGTGGAAGGATATAGTGGAAGAGGTAGACCTAAGAAGAAATGGATGGATTGCGTGAAAGACGATATGGGTAAGAAGGGAATGAGCGAAGAAGTGGTTTATGATAGAAGAGTATGCAAGGAGAAAACATGTCGCGCCGACCCCAGGTGACTGGGAGAAGGGCAGGATAATGATGAAATGATAGTAATGCAAGACAAAAGGGGAACGGGTCGACCGAAGATGAGATGGATGGAGTGTGTGAATGACGATACGAGAGAAAGAGAAGTGTTGACATGACGGCTGATATAGGAGAATGGAATAGAAAAATTCGCTGTGCCGAACCCATCTAGTGGTATAAGGTGTAGACAAAGAAGATTGTGCTTAATGGCCACAATTTAATGAGGAAATAATCATTCATCATGATCCTTAATCGTGAAACTACGAATCATATTGAGAGGGTAAAAAACACCCCTAGCTCTCCCAGACATAATCCTCAGTAAGTTGACACTATCACTAAACTGTCAGATACATACGTAGAGCGTAATGCTCGGCCGGACACTCCCTGTACACTTGAAGCCAGATGTCCGTAGAGTGACAATGAATTTGCGATACGACATTAAAATTACGTCTTTATAAAAAGGACACTCTCAAAGATATATCTATGTAAGTTTTGTGTTGACGTTGACAGAAACATTAATACATATATGGCTATATATCAGATCAGCATTCAACCATAAGAGGGAGCCATAAGTTAGACAAAGAAAAAAACGTGTTTTTTCTCGATCGGAATAAAAAAACTTCAGAGGTGTCAAGAGCCACCCGGATGGAACGAAGTACCTTTCGATTAATTAGTGAAGGAATTGTAATTTTTTTTTAAGTTATAATAATAAATTACGGCATTATGAAGAAGAAAAAAACAATACTATGAACTAAATTACTATTGTTGAAACGCTATCTCGAGAAACTGTACTCATTACGCGGACCAATCGGATACAAGCAATGTCACGCGATAAGCGCCTACACGTTGATTGGTCAGAATGACGGATCTAAAAAGTGTCGTGACAANTATGAACTAAATTACTATTGTTGAAACGCTATCTCGAGAAACTGTACTCATTACGCGGACCAATCGGATACAAGCAAT